ATACTCTCACACTCATACTCTCACACTCATACTCTCACACTCATACTCTCACACTCATACTCTCACACACTTCTGTCAGGCAAGCGATCGACTGGTAGCCGGAGAGGTTGCGAAATCGCTGGTGTTGTCCGCATTTTGCGTCCTTTTGTGCTCGCTTCAGCCTTTAGCCTTCCACGTCTCTCTGCGGAGACCGATTTTCCGTATTTTCTGGTCCGTCTTAATTGAATACCACAGTCTGACCAAACTGCCAATGCTGTATACTCATGATTCATTGACAGGTTCTAAAACAGTTGAGCATCGACGAAAAGTGCATCTCTCCCGTTAAATGTATTTTTCTACCATGGGTTGGAGTATTGGAGCTCTAGCTGATAATGCCTTGGTCAGTTTAGTTGGAGATTAGGGACAGTTTCCTTGACGGATTTAGTACGTAGTAAAAGTAAAATCGTAAGAATTGATATATAGCATATGAGAAAATAAACTTGAATTCTTTATCAAAGAAATACAAAATAAAGCTGTGCACAGTGAAAGTAAGCAGACAACCCTCAATCACCAAATATCAGCTATTACGCTCTTAATTTCCAACACGCTTTCAACACAACACGTAATATACCAACTTTTAATCTAAGAATAATCCGTGTAAATAGTATTTATTCAAATAGAAATTTCGAAGCGTATTTTTATTTAATTCTAACACAAATACATTGTTTTATCCGAACGTTCTCTAACTAATAGAGAGAAAATATTAGGAAGTACATACCACATCCCTATTACAGATTACCCAACGTCCATGAAATGAGTAGTTTCGCGTTCATTCATCAGCCACGCCCCGCAGTTTTGTTTGGTATGAATGAGTGTCCAAATAATTGTTCATTCGTTTGATTGATTGATTAGTGATTTCGGGCGCGTCAACGGATAAGATCATTAGTCCCGAAAATGTAGTGCATATGTTTCGTCTGAGGTGGCAGTGATCTCCCCCATTGAATGTTGAGATCTGGCGCCGACCTACCGTCGTCTAGCGGGGTTTCCCCATCTACGAAATCTACCAGCGGAGCACCACCCCAGCCAGGACAAGCTATAAGCTCCCGACTGGTCTCCTGGCATGTTAATGTGTGTGTGTGTGTGTGTAAGTAAGGGGTGAGGACAGGACATGGCAGAGGAAGGAAAGATCGTCCACGGTCCGTGACCCGTTTGTTAGGGTACTGCTCCGGCATTCGCCGGGCATTCATCGAAAAAACTATCGATCAGAGCAGCAGGTCGCTAGAATTCGCAGACAGCGACTGAACTCAACCTAGCTAATAGTTAGTGTCGAAATTCCCGCCACCGTCGAGACTCAAAAATAGGACCTCCTGGTCAGAGGCACTGCAGTGACATAAGTTGAAGCCCTGCCCCACCTCTCCCGGTTCGCTGACTGAACCTATTTACTCGTACTTTGTTAATTACTTAGTGCTCACTTTATAACTAATCGTGGAACATTATTGTAAATATTTACATGATTAAATCCCTTTGTAGCGACTTTTGGATTTTTGACGTTAACTTGAAAAATTTAGCAAAAGTTGATTTAGCAAAAGCTGAAAACAAATCAGCAAAGCTGATTACAAGCATGATCTTACAATCTTAAGAAGTCACTGTCAATTACTACATCAACTAGAAAGTCACTTCTATAATATATGAACTTTGAAATAGTTCGGAAAATATGTTAGGTGTCAAAACTGACCGGTCTCCATTATCTAAAAGTGATTCGAGAGTAAATCTACGAATTGCACTTATTTCTTTTAAAATATCTAATCTCTGTTCATCGGCCTTGTTTGTGTATACTTCAACGATATAATATTTCACTACCAGTTTTCTGTCAGCTTACTTTAAATGCAGATTAAACAAAATGTTTCCTGATAATATTCCAAACGTTATGAATTGCCATTCTCCTCATCAATAGTATTCTTCCGGGGTCTTGTAAGCTGTTTACGTCTTCGTGCATCTAAGCATGAAGTCTCCTCATACCGTGATCTACTTTAAAGCAGACTTATTCGATTACTTTTCTACTTAAGCAATGACCTCCTCCCCGCTAGAGATAATTCTCTTAAACTACCGCAAAGAAAGAGAGCAAAATGCCACTGGCACATTTACTGCAGGCACGTGAAAAACATGTTTGCTCGGCGGCTGCGGCGCGGCGCGGCGCGGCGCGGCGTGGCGTCGACCTCCGCCTGGTCCTGGCGCGTCGCCAGAAATCTCGCGGACGTCACGCCTAGTCGGCGCGGAGCCCGCGAAGCGCGCGCCACCCGACCCGACCCGACCCGACCCGACACCGTAAAGGAAGCGCCGCGGACGCGTGGGGCACGTGACGAGCAACGACCTCTCAGGCAGAAAACAATCGTCTCTAAGGCCTGAGTCACATGAGCGCTGCGTTAACGCGCGTCGGGGATTATCGCGGAATCTTTTCCGGAGACGGCGAAAGAGCTCGTGTACCGTTTCGCGTTAGATACAAATTAAGGCCCATTCACAATGCAAACGTAAAATTTAGGACTACGTCTAAAAGCGGACCCATTCACAATGCGTTCGCACAAGCATAACATGTAAGACGTTAACTTAGAAGCTTGCAAACTTCAAGCTTCTGTGCTTATGCTTAAGTATGACATAAGAAATGAACCAATCATAGTTCATTAACTCATAATTGAGAATCGGAAATAGGATCGAAGTCGATAGACGAACTAACGCCATATGAGTTATGGACACAGTCGATACCTCGAAATCGATTCTCACATCCAACCATTGGTAAACAACAATGCCTTACAGCCAATGAAATCTCTTATTTTGCTTACATTTATATTACACATTGTGAATACTTCAGTGTATCAATTATGTTAATGTTTTCGTCTATGCGTTATGCTTATTAATTAATTAAAATTCTTTTTAAAAAAATATTTATTTGTCAAAAACAGTTAAAACTGTGTGTGACGTGCTATGGGGTGAAGTTAATTTGAAGTTACATTTCTATCCAGAAGCAAAACAAGGATCCATCTCAGCATTTGCTCGAGGATCAAGGAAACTGGACGAAAACCTGATCGAGATGGGGGTCAATGACCCACAACCTGAAGTACAATATTTGTTACAGGTTCTTTACTATTATACAATCCAAATGGTATATAATGCAATAAATGTCATTGTTGAAATTAATATTACTTTCCTTTTGAATGCTCGGAGGGGACTGACAATTTTCTGCCTTCATCCGAACTAATTGCATCTTAATTTGCATGTTATTGAAAGTAAGTAAGTTCAGTAAATTCTCCACAGTATTGAATGCATTACTTACGAGACTTGGTGTTTTTTTTATGTTAGGTTTGTTGATACAAAATGTGCATTTGATGACTGCGGTTTCTTTTGTGGAAAGTTGGCCGTTCTGGAATAAAGTCCCTCTTTCATTTCATTTGTCATTTTGGGGTGTTAGAACGTACGCACGAGATGTCGAGCGACAATTATTGTTTGTAAAAAGTTCTGTTGTTGTTAATGATGAAGATGATGATGGGTGGTGGTGGTGGTCGTTAACCACCATCATGATTGCTCTTTCCTCCTCATCTTCCCCCTCCTGCTGCTGCTGGCTACTCTTTCTGGAGTGAGACCAACAAATCATCTCATCTCATGAGAACGTACTTCACATTTGGAAAAAAATAATTATTGTATATTACTTTAAGAAATGAAGTTATAAATATGCTAAACATTTCACACGAAGAGAGTATACATTTCTGAAAAATTACAGATATTTCACTATTGCAAAAGAAACTAGGCTAATGACATTTTCGAAATACAATAATTTTATTTCATTAACATCATTAGCAGCAGCAATAACATCAATGATCATGAAATTAACTAATGTAAAACGTGTCCAAATAATAGTGCTTGTTCTAAAGAGCTGGAATGCGATCACCGTAATTTCAAAACCTAATTTGCTTTTGTTTTGTATGGATTCTATTACCGGCAACTGTCTCAATAGTGAAATTATACAATAACTCGAATACCCACTGAAAATCCAAGCAGAACCAAGTGCGCAAATGGGGAACATACCTGACAAGGACATTACGCATAAAAAGTATGAAGTAATATCTGAATATAAACTATTTTAAACTTAGTTTTAATTAATATGCATCCATTTGTATTTATGTCTTATTATAAATTACTGACCTGAATTTTGGAAATAACTTTTCTGTCATTCGACGAAGCTGCAAACTCCAGTTTATTGGGGCATTAGCTATCAGTGTTATCTTATATTTAATTGTATGATAATTATATTTGCGATATTAGAACTTAATTAATTCTTCATTTTCTTAATTAATTCTTGGAACATTATCCGACCCTAATTTACATCCCTGGCAGAGAGACTATACTCTAATTTATTTGTAAGTAAATAGTCTAATCTATTTGACGTTTAAAATGATGAAAAGATGCTGAAAAGTATATAGTAAATGAATATTAAAAGAAATGATAAGTTATAAGGAATTGTTGAACTATTAGGACAAATTCCTTCTTGGGTCGGTCTCGTCGACATTCTCGTAAGGATTCGTAATGTAAATTATTTGTCTCATTTGAAACATTTATGTTCCTATAACAATTTCATACTTTCAAAAAAATTCTTATTAGAAACACTAAAATCTGGATTTATATGTGCTTTCAGTTGAGTTTGAGAAATTAAATTATTCAACACTGACTTAGGGGAAATATAAATCGATAGTAAAAATTAAATGTTAAAGACTACATAGAATACATAGTGAAAAAAAATGGGAAACACTTAATATTTTAAACAGAAGTGGATAATACAAGTGGCTACTCAAAATGTTTGGTGTGAAAAATGCATAATTGCACCCCATTTTGATTATTGTGCAACAATAATTGATTGTTGTACCTTGGATCACAATTTACACTTATTCTTTCCATTATTATATTTTAAAGAAATATGTCTCCTACGTCTCTATCTATTATCTATATATCTATTATATATCTATTATCTATCCATTATCTATCTACATATCTCAGAGTAATGTGACGCCAATCGAGAACGGCCGACCTGGCCATGATTCGAGAGACTGTATGACGTAAAGCGCTAAAAGAAAATAAACGAACACATAATGCACTCCTAAGTACTCATATTTCTTTTTAATACCTTCATAACTGCACGAAAACATCTTCTTGTCTCGTTTTTCACACCATTAAGTTACGCAACAAACATTTTAAAGCTCTTGCAAATGAATATTTTTTTTATACTTCAACGACCCTCATTTGGGATAATTCAAATATGTGAGATCTTGAAAAGTGTGCACTCATTTGAAGCAATTATAATAAAATGAAATAATGAAAATGTAAGATTTCAGTTTTTTCGCAGGTAATTTAATTTATTTCCATCTAGAAAGGGTGGGTTCCGTTCGTGACACGAAAAATAATTATATCAGAAGAAAAATAAGTATATTGAATATATTACAAGTCTATTGCAAGTTAAATTTGTTTTGGGGTTGTGTTCTTTCCGGTGAAGGGAGAGAAAGAAGCCGTCTTGGAATTCTAAAATGGCCAATGTTAAGTATTATACGCGCACGTTTTCTTGAGCCCCGGAATACCTACCCCACTCCTTTCCCAACATTAGCTGAATTAAGAAGAAATGAGAGTAACGAGCGTTGTAGACCAAATCTCATAACCAGAAATGTTCGCTCCCGTGTAGTAGAAACTATTTTGCATCTAAAAAGGAACTACAAATTTGATGCAAAATTCCTTTCGTCAAAATAAACGAACTCCCCACTCCTTTCGCAACTAGCGAAGCGAGGGCTCAAGAAAACTTGCGCGGATAATACGCACATAATGTGCATCAAGTTACGTAGAGCGCGGTTTTTCCTCATCTAAGGGGAATGTTCCTGGAACTCAAAAAAGGCTTTCTTCTGGGAAAATATTTCAACGTATTTTAGTGTCTTACTTCATGTATTAATGAATTTAGTTTGACATGACTGTAGGAACAATAAAGACATGATTATCACAAGTAATCGTTGTTAGTATTTTATTTATTTTTTTAGCAAACCCATTCCTTCCTACATGATCAATTTTTGAAAATATTTTTATACTGTGCTCTTTTGAATACGTTAGTAAAATATCTAGATATTACGTGCCAGCATGTGAAATTAATTATTAAACAGATCGATTTGTTAATCATTAAAAATAGTTAGAAATATGGTTGGTACAGCGCATAATAGTCCAGATTCTGCTACTTCATCTCATGTTTTAGTGTTTATTCTAAACAAAATCCTCTTCTATATTTTTTCAGTAGTATAGATGAGTTTTGCGCACACGCAATCTATCTTCTGAAATGAAGTCTCTGAAGAAAGAGTACTTCACGGAGACGTGACAATTTGCACTTTAACTTTAAAAACAGGAAGGATTTGTTGAAACATGCATCTCAATTCATGTCCAATGTAATTGGAAACACTCGGGCAACATTGGAAGTTACTTCTTTAATTTTTTTAAAGAAATAAACGTTTCGTTAACAATTTCCTTTTTAAAATGGAAAAGGAAAGATAGGGAAGAGGGTGGAATTTAACACGCGAGAGTATCCGCGCGGGTACACTAGATTGATTTATCGCCAAAACTGTAAAAACTATATGTGACTTATGGGGAAAGTGTAGTCTGCACACGTTTCATAGCTTTTATAATCCCTATCCCATCCTTATACGACACGTACCTGAACGATGATATATTAAACACCCCTGTATAATAAAGCATGATTAGCAACATTTCAAAACTAGACATTTCCGCTTCGGAGGAAGAGAAAAAAATATATATTCATAACAAATGAATTACAGACTTGTTTTTATAGTATTGATAGACAAACAAAAAGCCAACGCCCCCAGCCCTCCTCCTACAGCAAAAGAAGATCTCAACCAATGGCCGATTTGCGTAGAAATTAAATAAGCAATTGCCCTATGCGTGGAAAACCCCGCACCGTGGAAAACAAGTCAAAAAGTATCAGAAAAATCATAAAATGTTTGTATCTATAAAATAACTGTTAATCAAGTATTAAAAAGATTGCATTTTTTAAAAGTATTTGGTCAATATTACATTAGAATAATATTAAATGTACATTATGGCATTGTAACTGAAACTATGCATTGCTTACCCAACTTCAAAAATTGTAGGATGAAATTCACTGTGTTTACGTTCTTTAGGTAAATCTGGAGAAATTTCTTCCTGTATGTGTATGTGTATGTGTGTATGTATGCGTATGTGTATGTGTGTATGTATGTGTATGTGTGTATGTATGTGTATGTGTGTATGTGTGTATGTGTATGTCTATGTGTGTGTATGTATCTGTGTGTATGTGTGTATGTATGTGTATGTGTGTGTGTATCTGTATGTATGTTTATGTGTGTGTGTATGTATCTGTATGTATGTGTATGTGGGTGTATGTAGGTGTATGTGTAAGTGGTGTGTGTGTGTGTGTGTGGTGCTTTGGTGCCCTGCATTACCTGGACCCGTGTGTGAGGGATCATCGTCTGAATGCGCGTGCGTGGCGTGCGCAGGAGACGGGCGTGGCCATGCCCGCGGGCGCGCCGGTGGACGCGTCGCTGGTGGACTGGATCCGCATGGGCACCACCGTCGCCACCAACGCGCTGCTAGAGCGCAAGGGCGAGCGCATGGCGCTGCTCATCAACCGAGGCTTCCGTGACCTGCTCTTCATCGGCAACCAGGCGCGCCCGCGCATCTTCGACCTGGTGAGAACGCGCCCCGCGCTCCTGAGTCCACGTGCCCACGCGCCCTCAAGCCCCACGCACCTCCCGCGCCAAGTGCACCACGCGCCTCCGCTTCCCGCGCCCCACGCCCACGCTCCACGCCTCGCGCCCTAACG